TTTGGAAAAATTTGAAGGAGAGATGGAAGGTCGCAGAGGAGACTATACAAAAATCACAACAGATGCAAAAGGACTCTGAAAGAGATGATACTGAATTAGGTGCTATGGGTATTGATTTTTCTAAATTTTTGTCTTGATTATGGATTAAAAATGTTTAAAGTGGAATATAAATGGAGGAAGTGCTTTCCAAAACAGAATATTTTTTCATTATTTAAAAAAATTAAAACAAGGCATAATTTGCCTACAAGAGGCAAATATTAGGAAAAAGGATATAAAATATTTGATTTATAAAAATTTGGGTGAAGAATTCATCTCAGAAGGACTTAAAAAAAAGAAATGGAATTGTTTTGAATATTAACTCCCAACTAAAACCAGAACTTGTATTGGCGGATGAACATGGTAGATTTGTTGGGGTGGATTCATAAGTTTATCCTATGAAAATTGGCGTTTGATGGGGGATTGGAATGGAGTGATTTTCCCACAGCTAGACATAAAATTGGAGAAAAATATTAAAATGACTCAAGGTAAATTACCAATTTTTTTAAAAAAATTGATGGACAATTTAGGGTTAGTGGATGCATGGGGACAGAAAAAATGGCAATTCTAGAGAATACACCTCCTCTCAGAAATACATAGATCTTTTTCAAGAATACATATGATTTGGATTTCAAAGAATCTGGCTACTAAGATCTCTAAAGTAGAGATTTTACCAAAGACTTTTTCTGATCATAACCCTGTGAGTTGGGTTTACAGAAGGAAATTTACTTCTTTTAGATGGACATTAAATGAAACATTGTTACAGAAAGAAGCAATAGTGGAGGTTTGTAAAAAGAAATTAACTGAATATTTTGAAAATAATCTAAATAAAGTCACTGATTTAAGGTTGGTTTGGGATACAAGTAAAGCTTTTGTTAGAGGTTAACTTCATACAACACAATACTGAACTTAAAAAGAACAGCCAAGAGAAAACACAGGCTATTTTGGAGGAGATAAAAAGAAAAGAAGAATGAAAGAAATCGCCAGAGAAGATAAGTATTTCTCATCAAATTAAACTTTTACAGCAACACTTATCAATGCTAACAGTAAGAGAAATAGAAATAAAAATGAACTATGCAAAGTAGGAAAAAATTGTGAATTTGCAAACAAACCAGGGAAATGGCTAGTGTGCAAATTAAGAAAAAAAAGAAAAGAAAATGATGTTGAAACTGCGAGAGGGGAGATACTTAAATAACAGATAATGTGGCTATACAAAAAATGTTTCATCAGTATTATTCTAATTTGTATGAAGGACATGATATTTCTTTGGAGAAAATAGATGAATATTAAAAACAAAAAACAAAATTTACCAAGGATTACAGAGAAATGAAGACAGACGACAATAAGGGAAGGTTCTGAAGCTATTAAAAAAATTAAACCAGGAAAAGTACCAGGGTCAGATGGATTACTGGGTTCTTATTATAAATGTATTAAGGACGAACTTCTACCACCTCTGCAAAATACAATGAATTCTATCTTACTGGGAGGAAAGATGCCAGACACTTGGAAAGAGGCTAATATAGCACTAATACCTGAAGAGGGACAAGATTTGACTTTAACTGTGAACAACAAGAGGGGACATTTTACCATGCTTGGTGGATGGGTAAAAAAGCTTAAAAAAAAAATTGGACTCAACTACATACACTAATTCAGAAGATTTTAAAGATTAATATACAATTAAAATGAGAGGTGTTTCTTTTGGGACTGATTGATAACAGTTGGGAAAAAGTCATGGAACTTTGTTTTTTTATACATAATAACTGCAGCGAGTTTATTATACACACAAAGGTAGAAAGACTTGACATTAACCACAGTGGAGGAATGGATGGTGAAGAGGATGGAACTTGCTGAGATGGCCAAATTGACATCTTTGATCAGAGAAAAGACATTGAGTTTAATGCTGACTGGAAACTCCTTATAGACTTTTTGCACGAAACAGAAAAAAAATGAACTTTTGATATGATTTTGACTAGAAAAAACAATAGATTATAGAAAAAAATGAGTTATGCTGTAACCATAGAGTAAGAGGTTAATTTACAGTTAAAACTGCCGTAAAAGAAAATCAGAAGTTACTTCTTTATATTTTCTTTTTTCCTGCACTTTTGGCTTGCCTGCCTGCCTGCCTCCCTCCCATCCTCCCCTCCCCTCCCCTCCCCTCCCCTATTATAAATATTACTTTTTGTTAGTTTTTAATCTTTCTTGTTTAAAACCTTAATAAAGTTACCTTAAAAAAAAGGAAAAAAGAAATTGTGAGAAACAGAATGAAAGGGCAAGATTAAATTTTGAGATTGATAGAAACATAGTCAGGGAATACCTATTGACCTGGAATGAGTTAAAGTCTTCAGGATCAGATGAAATACATCTCCAGATAACGATAGGATTTTGACAGAGGAACCAACTACCCAGAGAAGTGGTTTGGCTCTCCTTCAGAGGGGATCAGAGACTGGACCGCCATCTGTCTGGGATTCCTGAACTGAGCACAGGTTTGGAATCAGTTTGCCTAAATGGGTCTCTCCAGCTTTGATTCTCGGTTCTGACTTATGCTTTTCTTCACTATGCAGGCCTCTGCCTTCCCCCTCCATTGCTGTGACCTTGCTAGCAACTTTTTTGCATGCACTTTTTTCGTATCTTAGCAAACTGGATATTGTACTTGGAAATAATTCGCAATTACTTTACATGGGAAGTTCCAGTAAGTATAGCAGAGGAGGAGGAGAAAGCAAGTATGCAGAATAGTGATTGCCAGGGTAGATTTAGCAGAAACTTTCTAAATTGGAGAAGGAAGAGAAACTCTGCAAGTGTTGGAAGCAGGAGGCAACCAGAAAACAACAAAGTTCTGACTCATTAAAATAATGCTTTACATGTGGTGTTTCAAAGAAGCACAGTATGGTTTTTTTGGCAACTTAATGAAGAGGTGAACCACAACTCAATAGCAGAGCATATGTTCTGAATGCAGAAAGGACACAAGAATTTTCAAGTCCAGCATCTCAGGTGAAAAGGGTTTGAGCGGCAGGGCTGGCAAATGAATTGAAGAGATGCCCAGATCTCTTTGGAGGCACGTGTGGATTTTGAGAAAATGACGTCATTGATCACAAAGTCCCTATCATGGATACAGTGCCCATTCACAAGGTGGCTGATGTCATAGTGGTAGTTATGGTTGATCTTTAAGTGCTTATTTTACAATTGGCAGAAGTGGTGAGATTGCATGACAACTTATCCCAAGATAATAAATATGCAAATCTATTCCTTTTGTTGCAAGGTGTCCCCCCCCCCATTCATGAGCAACTCCACAAACTAGTTTATTAGAAAAGTAGCCTCTTTTAGCCCAAAGAGGGTGTTTGAACACTCCAAGCATCAAAACTTGTTTTCAATCAGGTTTTCTAGATTCCGCAGAAGAAAACTGGAGAGTCTCAGGATCAAACAACCTGGGAGTGGAACTTGTGGCAAGGCCTGCTGGGAGCTTGAACCAAGCATTGCATTTGCCCTACCCAACACAACATGAAATCCATGTCATAGAAAGAAATTGCTCACATGCAGATCCTCACAACATACAACGTGTAGGCATAATGCCGAAACAAAAGAAATATCCCCTTTCCATCTGTGTCTAGCACACAAAATAGGCTACTTTTAGCCAAAATACTTAACTCTTCCAGTCTGTGGACCATGCTTGCCCCAACCTAGCTCTCACTTATATTACCTGGGATCAGTTGTAAACAAAGCAGTTGGTTGCAGCCAACTCAGCTTTGTTTTTGAAGAATGCCTCTGAAGCCATGTTAGCACCAAAGCATTTGAGAAAATAAGACGGTGTGTTCCTGGAGACACTTTGCATTGCATTATATCAGCTTCCAGTTGTTTCAAAATGGATTTAATATTTTTAAAATATGAGAAGGGTGTGGGATCTGATGAACACAGTTGTTTAATTTCTTAATTCAGATACCATACTGTTGGTTTAGTACTGCTCTTGAACCTGTAATAATGTACAAGTAGCCCTTTTCCCAATCAAGAAGACTCCTTAACCCTGTGCAAACACCCAGGGCACTCTCTATCCCCCACCCGTTGTACTGAAGTTTGCAGAAGTTTCTACAGGCACAGCTGTAAGCTGGTTTCCATGCAAGCTAGGTCTCTGCATTATCATTAATGAACAGGAAAGCCACTCCAGTTCCACATGGCGCGAAAGACATTGCCTCTCACAGAATACAGAATAAAACCTTCCAGTTCTAGGGATGAAGTGGGATAACAGCACTGCACAATTCTTCTTCTTAGCTATTATGTACCTCTGTTATTATTTATCTTCAAATTCTAATAAAGTGGTCCCAAACACAATGATTACATATACCCAGTGTTTCTCACAATTAGAGACTTTTACAGCTATTTTTAAAAATTCCATTTGAAATTGACCATATATTTAATGGTCAATAGTATGCATCACTTTTGATTTTGTTTCTTCATCCAATAGCATGGATTAGAATTGCAGTTATTCTGAGTGAATCAATTCCATTTCCCTCTCCTGAATTCTGCCCCCATCTATGGCCTTCAACCATTATTATAACTATTATTAGAAGAGGAGGTAAGGAACACGTGGTTCCTCAATGTTACGGAACCACAGCTCTCAGCAGCATGGCCAATGATGAGCAGCTGGAATTGTATTTCAACATCTGGGGGCCTGAGGTTCACCAAACCTTTCTTAATAATTGCAGACAACTTCCTCTAGACCTCAGTCAACTCACCGAGTAGCTTTTCATTGTGACACTGAAGTCACACTTTCAGCTACTGGCCTCTGCTGACAAGTGAATCTTTACATCTATATAAAATAGCCAACGGTCAACCATTCTACTCTATACTGACACCATTATTTTGGCGTGTGGTAAACATGTTCTATTACCATCACTGGATTCCCAATCTGGAAAACAAGCAAAGCAACCGTGAAAGCGAATCTGCGTGAGACATTATAGGCTTATTCTCAAAGGTGCATACAAATAAATTTATTTTCAAAACAAAACAAAACATGAATTGCTGAATTTCTTCAGTGATACAAAGTAATAGTCCAGCTTGCAATCGACACACTGTATTTATCCCAAAATGACTGCAAAAACACAACTACACCAGGCAGTACCGATATGCCCTTAGGTTTTACTGGAGGAGGGATGTGGCAGCGGTAGCAGCACTTCCATCTCACATCATTTGGCAAGAGAGAAATAGATGACAGATCCTTTAACTAAGTAGCATTTCTGATTATGTATATCGTGGTAGCTTTACAGCTGACAACAGTTCTGCCCAACTGCAGACATTTCTCAAGGCAATTCTGTAATTATATCTGTCTTAATGGTGGATTCAATCTATAAAGGCCATAGAACACTATTAAATAGATACTGCATCTTTTCCCCCAAGACAGAATATCTGCAGGTTATACCAAAATGTAGCCACTCAGGATGTCTCAGGAAACTACAATGGTAGTAACAACAGAACCACCTTGACATCTGGCAAAAGAAAAAAGAATGTTCCCACATGGAAAATTCATTTTCTCCTGGATACTTAGATCTGAAATACAGTTCATTACACTGTAGTTTTCTGATTGCGTGTGTCCTTGCAACTATCTCATTGTAAAAAAATAACAGAGGTGGGGAAGAAAGCCCTATCTCTGAACTCTGTAAATAACTTAGGTTGACTTGATATGGTATTGGCAAGCAGCGTGTGATAGATTGTTGAGCAATCAGAAACAATGGCAGAGCTGAAGAGTCAGAGGTCTGGAGAAGAAGGGTAAGAATAGTATGATCCATTTTCCTGCAGAGGGGAAAAAAACCATTAACACCAAGAACATGTGTACACAAAAAATAAATTCACATTCAAACCTTGTTAAATGAAGAGCTGTGGAACCTCTACATGCTGAATTCCAACAACAGCACTCTGGGCCAAGTCACTGCCCATTTATTGTGGGGGGAAGAAGCCTTATCATTGAATTGCAGTTTACCCCTAAACAGATTGGAGAACTAAGAGAGCTTAAATACTATGAGTCAGACTGGATTGTGCTGCTTAACCCACCATATCACAAACTGCATACTATAAAAATATCACTCTGACTGCCATTTCTTTTCATCTGCATTCAGGTTTCCTTCTTTTTCAACTGCAGGGAGCCTCCAAATTTTTTTAGGTATTACCCCAGCTACCCACAGGAGAATCAACAAGGAAAATGGATCAGGTAATGGTGTGTCCGTGCTGGTTCAGGAAAGGAACAGCTGCAAGGCCTTACCAAAACAAAGAAAAGTGCCAGGGCGGAGAAACAAAATGAAGCCACAAGACACTGGGAGTGCATCAAGGGAAGGTGGGTCACAGGCAACAATTTCTCTCCCTTAGCTTTTTTTAAAAGGGAAAATTAGTGAAGTGCTCTCACTTGCATCTTGCCACACCACTACAAAGAAATTCTGTGCTTTTCAGAGTAACCTGTATCAAAAACACGTGCCACAATGTACATAGTAAGATTTCAAAAAATGAAATCTGTAATGAAGTCCAGGAACTTATCTGAGAAATGGCTGAATGAAAAAAAAAAGATGAAGTAGGGAGTTCAGGATAAAGTACTTTAGCGATAAAGTACAGCTTGTAGAGATACTCTTTATATTAGACAAGAGTTAACTACTCCATAACCATTGTACTGTATGTCTTTCTTTCCTCCCATGTACTCATTAGCTTTTGAAATGAAGTTCATTCAAGATGACAAGTACTATGGACTTCAAAATTTTCCAGGTTATAATACTAGCATCCTATGAAGTATAGCTTTGTGCTCTAGACACTAGTGATCATCTGTTCTCTTAGGATAATGTGCTCTTGAAGCAATACAATGTGTATTTTAGGCAACATACAAAGGTGTTCTGCAGCATATACCTTTAGAGGCACAACCAACCCAACATGGCTTTCAGGTCTTGGCTGTTTCTAAAGCAAGACACCAGACATCTTTTTAAACCAAGGGAAAGAAATATTTTTTCTCCACTCTGCTTCATGAAATCTAACAGATACGGAATAGAGTGCCAAGCTAATGCATATTCCCAGAAGTCACCTACCCTGATGTCATATTCAAGAACAAATGGAGGAAAGTCAATTTGTTCAGGGGGTATTGCTGTGAACAACTGCTGGAGGCTTTCCACGTGGTGAACTTTGTCCTTTAGACCTGAGACAGTAAAGGTTGTGAAGAACCAGGTTGAAACCTAATGGGAATAAAAGGGAAATTAATGCTGCTTCCATGGATTGTTTGACTGCAAATGATTCATACCATCCCAGCATTTGAAGTTATGAGACATGCAACAGAAACGTATTTAATAAAGTACTGTAAGTACACCCTGCAACTTAAAAGTTTTAAAGCAAAAACAGATGTTTTCCTTCCCAAAGCAACTGCTGTCTAAGGCAGCCAATACAGAAAATATGTGAAGGAAAAGGAGAGAAGAGTAGGATGGTATAAATATAAATAAGTAGGTTTTAATAGGTAATTTGTTTTTCAAAACCCTTTCAGTCAACTGATTATTTGCTAGTTAGACTTATGCCCTGCATCTCCTCCAAGAGCTTGAGGGAGCATATACAGTCCTCTATACCAGGGTGTATAACCTCAGCAATATTGTCCAATACTTCAGGTGCACACTTATTCACGATGGCATGCAAAAGTGTACATTTTCCATCTGGAGATGGCACACTTCACCTTTGAGCGAAATGTTGGATGGACGAAATACAAGGCCTTCAGATTTCTTTTGTACCTGGTTAATAACAAAAACAGTACGTTTCAAAAACAGATACATAATGACATAGGTTTCCTGATAACACCCAACCCATTCACAGAACCAGGTGGCTTATTCTTAACAATCAAGATGAGATTAACATATTTGGATATCAGGATATGAACTGAAACAAGACTTTCAATATTGTAAAGTTTTCACAGTGAAGTTTTCATCCTTCTCTGGTATTTATTAAGCCTTTTGCCCCACTCCTTTCCCTCTCTTTACTGTATATACTCATGTATAAGCCCATCTGCAGATAAGCAGACCCTTGAATTTTTAACCAAAATATCATGAAAGCCACACCACCTGAAGATAAGCTGACCTACATTTTTCATGGTATTTTGGTTAAAAATGTGAGGGTCGGCTTATCCGCGGATGGGCTTATCCATGAGTGTACATGGGAAATACAGGTACTTTTAAAAAGTATTACTATATATACTCATGGATAAGTCCATCTGTGGATAAGCCAAACCTGATTTTTTTGGGTGCGTTTTGGCACCTAAAATTCTCAGCTTATCATGAGTATATACTCATGGATAAGCTCAGAATTTTAGATGCCAAAAGGGTACATTCTTTAAAGTAAATTTTCTTTGCAGTGCTTTTGAATCACAGATGAAATTAAGGAGAGATGGTTTCAAGAGCTTATGTAAAACTTACTTGACATCGACAATATCAGAGAGTTTCTTCAAGAAATCTGAGTCCAAGTGATTGTAGACATTGGTGAGTGTATGGAAATACACAATGATATATTCCTTCACTACAATATGGTCCATCACATGGATAAAGTACAAGAGAGCCTGAAGAAAAACATATTTGATTTATTTTACCAGAGAGAACTGTGGCATCTCTCTTTTTATAATTCTACAAAAAAAGTACTGGGGAGAATAATTTCCTCAATAGGGGGAAAAAAACCCAGTACATTTTTGTTCAGCTAAGTGGCTTTCCTTTGTCCCCAAGAGCAGCAGTGAGTAAGACACAGTGGATTTAGATGTCAAATCCTCTTCTCAGATAAATTAACACCATATATGAATAGATCAACCAACATTTCAAAACTGCATTAGAAACCAGTGTGTAATCAGGTAATTTTAAACCAATTGTATATATTACAGTGATGCCACTTAAGACCATTGTCAGAATCATATCATTTCTCAGCATAGCTTGGTTACTCCAGGATATTTATTAATGTATCTGGCAGATTTATTTCCTACCTTTCATGTAGGAGTTCAAGGCAGCATTTACAAAGGTTCCCGCCTCCCATTTTTCCCCACAATGGCAACCATAGGAGATAGGTTTGGCTGAGAGAGACAAACAGTAACTGGTCCAAAATCAGCCAGTGAGCTTTCAGGACTGAGGATGGACTTGAACCTGGGTCACCTTGTATCTCCGTCTCAAATCCACTTGGGATGTCCAGACAATAGCTGTGTCATATTACATGTTATAAGTCCACTCCTCCTTATGTGCAACATCTATGATATGAAGTACATGAAGTTTACACCAATTGTAATTTGTCCAGGTCAGAGATAAAGTGGTCACAGATGCATATTCTTAGCAAAATCTTGTATGATTATTGTAAAGGGTTATTTGTAGAGCTGACTTTGGAAATGGTTCACAAGCTTCATCTAGTGTGCAATGAGCTGAAATGAAATTGCTAACTAATACAGATAGTCCCCGGGTTAAGAAAGCCCTGTTTAAGGATGACCCATAGTTAAAAACGGAGCCTACTGTAGCACAATGATTCGAGTTAAATACACAATGGTTCAAGTTAATTATACAATACTACTTATACAGTATTATACAATAATATTGTTCCAGCTTATATACAAATTTGACTTAAGGACAGACCTTGGGTAGGGAACTCATTCTTAAAGTGGGGACTACCTGTAATGGGTATTTAGACAAAACTACATTGCTTTCCAGTCAGCTTTGGGAATAATTTGAAAAAGCTGTTTTCACCTTCAATAGTCTGTGTGGCTAAGGATCAAAAGACCTCAAAGTTCACTCAGCTCTGAGACAAAACTGCTTGTATTTAAAATTGTTTTCTGAGGCTGTTCTGTAGGCACTCCAAACCTTGGAATGTCTACTTTCAGGTCTGTCCAAAGTGGGTTTATATTTTCAGTCTCATATGAAACCTTCTTGATATGCATATTTAATATTCCAATGGCATTAGGTTTTGCTGCTGTAGTAGGTTGATCATATTTTAAGTTGGCAATTTTAACTATTCACCTCTGGAAGTTCTTTTAAGGATGAAGAACAAATCTGGATGTACAGATGTAATTTCTCAGAATTCTAAAATAATAACTGTTATCATTGTTAAAACGTTTCTCAAGATCTTACCTTCTCCATGTCTATAAGCGTTACAGGAATATTCCTTCCAACAACTGCCATCACTGTACGACCACAGTTATCAACTCCTACGAATAGAATGGACACCAGGACCTCATTCCAGACTCCAGAATTTAGACTAAGAATGAATTTCCACTTATAGATACACTGAGTCAAATCCAGCTTAAAGTTCATCATTTGTAAATTGTCTGCATTGTCTGGGGTTGTACAGGAACCTATTATCTCTCACGTGTAATCACAACACCCTATTATGCCCCCTTTCAGGAGAATGGCTACCTTTTATCTATCCCTAAGAAATACAAGTAAGATAGTATTTCTTAACTGTTGAAATTCTTGAACTACCTTATCAGCTTTTTTTCAATAAGCAAGTTAACAATCTCCCCTGAATATGTAAACAGTTAAAACTATTACAGTTTTGACTACTTAGCTACTGCAACTCATGGAAAATCAACCATAAGAATACTCTCACAGGCTGAATTTCGTATTAGGTTAGCATTAAGATGTGAGATGCACTGCTTCTTTGCTACAACATGCTCATCAAGAAGGGAGAGTCACAGAACAACCAGAATTTGAGACCTTAAGCATACCTGTTTGGTACAATGCTTTAAGTGAAGCAATATCCGACAAGTCTTCAGCTCTCGCTCGACAAAGCCAGCGGTTGTAACTAGAAGGCAACCACACACAGTTGCAAAATATTTTTAATTTTCTAGTATCACAGTTAGCGTAAACATAAAACTTGATATTATGTATACCCTGCCAAATACCGTCATACATTTCTTACTTAACCTGAAAAGGAAGCTAACTGTGAAAGAACTGCACTGGAAACAACGAAACAAAAATCAGAACCAAGCCATCTTCTCCATGCAAAGTCTGTCCCGAATCCCACCAGCAGCTCATTATTTCCCCTTTGAAAGAAAAAAAAAAAAAAAACGCTACAAGAAAAGACCATCCTGTGATGTAAGTACACTGCTCTACCATGTGCAACGCCAGAGGCCGAAAACCAATGACCTGCAAACAGGAGAGGTACTTTGATAAAAGTGCCTTACTTTCTCTGATGTTGCTTCTGTAGTGCTGCCTCAGATAGCTGTCCTTGAAGGATGAGACGCCTCTGTTTATCAACATCTCCCTCCATTCGAGCAAAAGCATGGGAGCCGATAAATGAGAAGTCGCCTTCTAGCCCCTCTTCATCAGAATTATCTGCGGGAGACATTCCAGCATAATGAAAAAGCTCTCCCCGAGAGTGTCTTACTACACACCCAGTACAGGAAAATGAGAGGTCATAAACACCGGAGTGGAAAAGAGCTACACTTAGAAAGAGATTCTGTGGCAAAACGTCAGTGGTTAGTAGTAGCATTTCTTTCTCTGATGCAATCCGAACTGATGAAATTTTACCACTTGCAATATTGCAAGCTTCAAATAGGTCAAGCAGATAACTGGGTAGAGCTAAAACCAACAGCAGTGCTGAACATTGGAATAGGAAGATAGCCGGTGAAGGGTGACTTTCCCATCAAACCTGAGAAGCAGAGCTTGTCTGAGTTTCTCTTTCGGTCTGGTTGAGGGGAGAGATATCATCCTCCTTTTATTTGAGACATGCTACAGGAAATCAGTCACAGTGAAAACATGAAGACGTGTCTGCTATCGGGAAAAATGCACGAAGCTCACCATCCTAAGGACTTCCTAACAGCGAGTCTGTTATGGTGATGTCCTGAACTAGGACTTTGGATCACTCCTGAGCTGGTAAATGGTAATCTCCTTATCTTTGACTACATCATAGCTTGACTGATAAACAGAAAACTCCTCTTTTCTAAAGCACTGCCCAGTAATCTCTCACTTGATTTATTATGGTTCTAAAATCAAAAAGGGAGAGAAAACAAAAGTCTCCCCTGCTGCCTGAGGGATAGCAGCTTGCTGAGCTGGTAGCAGATCAGCTGAGGGTTTCAGCAGAATTTAGACTGAACCTCTTCAAAAAAAAGCCAAAGAAATCCAAGTGGAGCTCAGGGCACAAGTTCTCGGAGAGAAAAGACTGAATGAAGACCATGATTTATCAACCAGTGCTTTCACTGTAACAACCTCCTTCCACTAATTTCATTTCACAGTATTTCACATCTAACTGCAAAGCGTCTGAACGCATTCTTCAGTGTCTATATGGCACCTTATCCTGGAAAAGGATAGAGACTACATTTAAGGAACCTGTGATCTAAAGGGACCGTATTAATAGACCCCTTAACTCTGAAAAATTATCAGATGGCAAAGCCTATGCAATGTCAGACAATCTTAGTTGTTTCTGTCTGAGTTTAGGCATTAATCTACATTTTGGGTTGGGAATTATATTAGGAGCCCTTTGGGTTCTGGATATGTTGGAGTGTTAGTTGCTTCCACAACTTTTGCTTACTATTACTCCTACTTATCATTATTATTAGTATCTAATTGTGTCGATATAACAACTATCAATAAAAAGTTCTCTGGTAGTCCAAACAAAAATTGAAACTCTTACCAGAATAATTCCTACTTGGTTTTATGGACAAGGAGTTAGAAAAGAAA